GGGAGTGTGTCATTGATGTTCTGGCAGACACGGCGCAGCCCAGTGTGTCACTGATGTTCTGGTACACAAGGCGCAGCCCAGTGTGTCACAGATGTTCTGGCACACAAGGCGCAGCCCAGTGTGTCACTGATGTTCTGGCACACAATGCGCAGCCCAGTGTGTCACTGGTGTTCAGGCACACAAGGCGCAGCCCAGTGTGTCACTGATGTTCTGGCAGACACGGCGCAGCCCAGTGTGGCACTGATATTCTGGCACACAGGGCGCAGCCCAGTGTGTTACTGATGTTCTGGCACACAAGGCGCAGCCCAGTGTGTCGCTGATGTTCTGGCACACAAGACACGGGCCAGTGTGTCACTGATGTTCTGGCACACAAGGCGCAGCCCAGTGTGTCACTGATGTTCTGGCAGACACGGCGCAGCCCAATGTGTCACTGATGTTCTGGCAGATAAGGCTCAGCCCAGTGTGGCACTGATGTTCTGGCACGCCAGGCGCAGCCCAGTGTGTCACTGATGTTCTGGCACACACGGCGCAGCCCAGTGTGTCACTGATGTTCTATGATCTATCACTGTACGGCAACAATGAATCTTTTTGTTTTTTCTGATAGAAAAGCAAGTTGTCATCTTGTGTGTTTAATTCAGCTTATCATATAAAAGCCATTGTCTACCGACCGTGAAGACTGTCAGAATTAAATTTTATGAATCAATAGTGAATATGAAAGCGGCGATATTCGCAGTAATGAACACTACTTTAACAGTAATGAAAACAAGGTCTGAAGAAAAATTCAGGCCTTTACGGGGTTTGAATGAATGACCTTAACGATACCAGTGTGGTGCTTGAACAATTGAGCTAACAAGCGAACTAGAAGCTAGTTATGTTAGTTCGTAATAAACCTGTGAAGTGACACATCAATTTATTAAGCCAGAGAAAAGTTTCGTTCAAAGTTCAAAGGTATCGAAGCCTTACAGCTTTCTTATATGGAAAAGATCATGAAAACGTTTGCCTGAGGTCGATCGTGGCATACAGAGGAAATAGCATCAGCAACAGGAATTTCCCGCCAAGGATATATTGCAAGGTTCGATCAAAGTTAGGCTTTTAATTAATTATAAACAGCGTGACAAAAATTGTTAGTAAATATCGATCAAAATAAGAATAAAAACGCGAACGAGAATTGAAAATATTTTACACATCGTGGGGAAACCAAGTCCTTGAATATGATGAATATATGAAGTTCCTTGAAGTTCATGACATTTGATTCCTTTCTCTTAAAAAGATAAAATGACTCGTTACTCCGGCACGTTTACAAATTCAGATATGTGTCGTTTTTGATACAAATTTAGGTCGATCACGAAGTTTATGACTTGTATCGTAACAAGCGAGTCCAGTTTTTCTCCACTCGTTTGCAAACAGATTTAAATTTAAGGCTACTGAAGGGAAGCAACCTCGTATTTTGTATCCTTTTCTTCAACTGTACTAGTCCAGGGCCTTAACTGCGGGCACGAAACTCAGGTAAATGCCCTTTCTATAGGTAAGGTAACAACATAAAGATAAAAGTTGTCTTGACTTTTTGTTGACAATAAGTAAGCGATATAGCACTTTGTTGTATTGTTTATTTCAGGTGCGGAGGGGTGCAGTTCGGGTGGCTTACGCTTGCTCTAAGCTTGGTTTGTTTGACATGGCTGAGGAATATCTCAAAGAGGTAGAACTTGGTTTTCCCACGCGCCATGAATCAAGGTTGCACCCCGAATTTGCCGTATTTCTCAGGAAGAAAACCGAAATTACTTTAGATAGGTACGAATTCCAGTGGTCTTTAAACGAGGTGGACGCCGAAGAAATACTTTCGAAAGGAAACGAGGATTTGCTCGAAGCAGAAAGAATCTTAAGTGATACGTTTCAATTTAAACGACAGATCGCATCGATAAAGAAGGAGAAAGCTCGGTTAAGCATGCTAATGAGAAATTACAGGAATGCATATGAGGACGTTCGTTCAGCTCTAGACAGTCTCCCCCGGAATTGCGATTATTTGAAAGCAGATTTTTTATTGATAAGAAGTGATGCTGAGAAAGGCCTAAATCTGGTTAATAAATCAAAGGTGTCTTTGGAAACAGCTGAAAATATTTATCGAAATATTTTTGGTGATGACCATCCGATGGTTGCAGTTACTTTGCAAAAGCAGTGTTCTCTAAGTTTATATGTCGCGCATAAAAGTGACAAAGGCAAGAACGAAGCGCATAAATATCATGAAGCAAGTCACCAAGTTTGTGAAGTCCTTAAAAGCAACTTGGAGCAACAGCTTACCGATATCCAAACGGATTTTCTCAGAAACTACAGTTTTGACCAACACCCTATTCTTAAACGACAGCAGTCACTTCACAGAAGGTTGACGCGCAATCAAGGTGCTTGGTGAACAAAGGACCATCAAAGAAAAAAAAAAGAAAAAAACATATCATCAGTTCACAGCAGTGACGAAACTTCCGCTTTCTATGTAATTCATGTAGGAAACGGCTGTAGGAACCATTAACTCATGTCACATTATGCCTCACATTATGCACTTATGTGCGATAGTGAAGATGAACCAGACTTAACTTTAGGAGAAGCAGCAGGTTGTTTTAACGCAGGTTTCATTCAAATAGACTTCACTCCTCTCAAGCACTTATGACGAGAGAAAATCAGGATTATCGTGAATTCTAAAAGGTGGTGGAAAGTGGGTGGGAGGGGTGGAGGCTTGAACAAGGCAGTCTCCTGGTTATGGGGAAGGGACCTTGCCTAAAATTAGACGTTTTTTCTCCTTTCCCATGGACAACCAATCTTCACAAACCATTTTAACTAACGATCTTCGCCACTGTGTACCACTATTGATAAACAATTGCATCTGGAAACTTCTTTAAAGTACAAAATTGAAATATAATGATTTCTGCAATACGCTAAGAGGTGCTAAAACTTAAGATATTGTAAAACGTTCTCTGACTGGTTGCTATGGTTGCTAATATACGTTAGTAACCAAGCGTGAGGTCAAGATGGTTGGATATTGGCCAAGTTCTGTTTTTGCATTTTTATGGCTGAGACGAAGTCGATGTTCATAAAAATGCGAAAAAGGAACGAGGGTAATATGCAGCTATCTTGACCGAACAAACTTGATTAATAAAGGATTTATTATATTGCAAAAAAATTTCGCTTCATTAAGAATGAAGAATGGCTTGTTTACTTCGAGAACCAGGAAAGAAAGCCAACTAAGTTTGTAGCACAACAAATTCACGTTTTGTTTTGACTATAGTCTGCCGCCTTTTGCGTTTCCATCGCTGAAATTGTCCAAGAGTTACGAACGTAGTTCTAATTCTATTTTTTTCATACGCAGGATCAATGCGGGCCATCCTGAGCGGGCAAGATGGGCCCATCTTACCCGCTTGGGACTCGCTTCATCTTGGTCACGAGCGCTGCGAGCGACGTAATAAAACTAGTTATTGTCAACAGCTACTTGATATTACTTTGTACTTTTTGACATTACTAGAAGTTTTTAGACTTCCCAAGATTTCTAGTTAGACTAGTAATATCATTCAATCGAGATATTGTTTTGTAATTTCTTTATTTTTTGGGCATTTTACAAAACATTACTCTACTGACAAAGCACTACAGGACTCAGTTACAATGCGTTGCTTACAATAGTTTACTGAGAACACACCACCAACAAAGTATAGTTTAAAGTAAATTTGATTACAGTGGATGACTTACTCTCGATTACTTCCACTTAGTACACAATACTCTACATTTACATTACTTTACGACATATTACACTACTTTCAATATGTTACGTATATAGCGAAATTGTGTGCTTTACAATAAAATTTGACTTCTTATGCTTCTCTGCATTGTTTGGACGACACCCAGCCCACAAAACGATGTGGCAAAAGCTTATTCCATTTCTGAAAATGTTTAGCTAATTTTTTCCGCTTTGTTGCTATCTTCATTTCTACCTGGTATATTTCCCCGATCTTGGCCTTATAATCTCATATAGAGGGGTTCTTAGAATTCAATTTACACTTGTCTATATAAAATTTAGCTGTCAGTATTAGGTGATTTAGAATGAAAGAGTCCTCTTCCGCATTGAAAACTCCAAAAAATAAATCCATTATTGGAAAGGTTTGAAAGTTAACTTGACATTCACCAAGCCAACATTCACCAAGCCAAGAACAGAAAGCTTCCCAGAAAGCCTTCGTAACATTGCAGTAGAAAAAGATATGTTCTGACGATTCAACCTCTTGTTTACAAAAAGTGCATGAAGGCGAATCCGCCAATCTCCATCTAAACAATCTTTCGCTTGCAAATACTATATTATGTAATACTATATATTGGAATTCTCTAATTTTAGTTTCAATTGTGATGGTAAAAGGCAAGGAGTATATTTTCTTCCAATCAAACGGAAATTGTGGAAAGATTTCCTTGAACTCTTTTTGCGCAGTTGGAGGGATTTGCTTTTTGCTTTTAATCGTGTTATAAAGCGATTTGGACGTGATTTTTGCTAACATTACCTCAGAATTTTCCAACTTCAAATAAATTATGTCATCTGTATGAGAGGGGGGATGTTGAGCGCTTTGTCTAATAATACGTCTCCAGTCGCAAGAAATGGCGTCCACGACACTCATTAACTTAAAATATTGTAGCGGAGATAAATTTGCATGTAACACCTTAACACCCTATAAGAAGATTCCAGTGTCAGAAATGAGATCACCGATCGTATCAATTCCTTTAGAAAGCAAGTGTTTTTCGGAAAAATGAGATCTTTTGGACAGTAATATTTTTATTGTTCCATATAACCTGGTGAACTACATCTTCGTACGAAAGTATTGAAGGTTACCTTAACCTGAACCAAGCGTCCAGGCACTCCTTATAAAAGGCCGGAAGGTAGATAGGTAACTGTCTGGTATCAAAATTACACTTAAGAATAAATTCTCACCCTACCTAAGAAAGGACGGAAGTAATTCAATGTTATTTTCCAAGAGCTGTTGTTATCTTTAATTGTAAATCTTTTTAATACAATCACCCTCTGTGCGAATATCCAACATCTTAAGCCCTCCATCCTCGATATCATTGATAAGAGCGGCGCGTTTAATTTTATCATTGCCTTTCCAAATAAGACGGTACATCAGACTGTTGACCTCTTTGATTAAATCATATGTGACTGTAATCAACAACGCTTTACTCAAGACTTTAGGGATAATAAACGATTTAACAAGCTGTATCCTTCCCAGAAGTGTAAGCTCTCTCCACTTCCACATATTTATTGCATTTTTGATAGACTTTAAGGTGGCTCAATAGGGTTATGCAAGATCACGAAGCGCGCGCCAGTGACATCAATGGAAAGTTAATATTCTCGTTGTTTTTGCTATTTTTCAAATCAAAGCTACTGAAACATAAAAAACAAGGGCCTAAATTTGCTGTACAACAGTCACCTATGAAGTCGAGGCTTTTAGTCCCAAATTAAAACTACTCGAATATTGCCATTTTTTGACGTCCTTTTGACTTTGATTTCAATTTTCTTCAATTTTCTTCGGTAAAATTTTCTATTATTCTCCGACCGGGTAGAGTCTGACAAGACGAAACTTTTAAAATCGAAAAAAATAGGGGTTGTCAAGGTAGTTTTTTCGCTTTTAACATTTTTGTTGTTTTTTGGCTGAGCGAAAAACTTGTCTTACAAATTTTTCTGATAAATTCACAGCAAGGAAAGCTAAAAGGGTATAACATCTCTGCCAAATTTTAAGGAATTTCACCGAAGGAAATACGAGAAATCTGAGGGGGAACTTTCTATTTTCTCACCGCAATGACAAAATGAGCATTCCTTCAGACCATCTGTAAGGGTTTCTAAGTCCACCAGTCTGGATCCTTGTGGCAGGTTCGCCTTCCTCTTAGCTTTATTCTGCTGATGGGAATCAGGGTTGGAGTCAACAGAACAGGTAGGCCGATAATTTGGACAAGCTTGGCAGGAAAATCTTACCAAAAATTAAGACTTCCGATTAAAGAAAAATGTACAGACCTCACATGCTCGTGTCATTCGTTTTGCTGGGGGTTCGTTTTCCTTGGACATGTTAACATACTGGAGCTTCCTTTTGGCATTCCACATTTTGAGCCCTTCGTGTACCCTTTTTATTTTTGTTTCTTTTCTGGTTTCGATCGCTTCCACTTTCCGAGAGCGACCTGACGCATTACGGATGTTGTGTAGGCGTTGTGTAAACTTCTGGTCTTTCACTCTCAATATTGTGCTCATTACTGGGAAGTATCGATGCCGTTTCGCTCTCGTCAAGTAAACTTCGCGATTATGTGACAAAAATTGTGCACTCGCGTGAAGCCGCCATGTTTGTTTACATATTTGATGCCATTTAAAAGTTCGGGCCATTTTCGTACCCATTCTTCGCCCGGCCAAAAAACCCTATTGAGCCACCTTAAAATTACTTCAAAGTTCGCTTTCATCCTCGATGAGACGTTAAAGTCAAAACGATTCCTAGAATCTTAATTGAAGTTCTTACTTTATGAGCATAATTGTTTTGATCAAGACGATGGCTACCAATTGCAAAAATTTCAGTCTTATCTTTATTGACTTGGAGGTTGGAGAATCTAGAAAACGACTCCAGAGTCGCCACTAAAAGGTGATATGACGTAGTATCTCTAAGGAAACAAGTCATGTCATCGGAAAAAAGGCTTAGTTTGACTTCTTCCTCCTTCCTCTTCACGAATTTGACAAGTGAGCACTTCAAGAGCAAGGGTGAATAGTAAGGGTGACAAGGGGTCACCTTGCCTAACTCCGCATCTGACTGGGAATAGATCAGTAGTGAAACCATTGTTTATAACACAGCTGGACACATTAGTATAAAACGTCTTGATCCACTGTAGAAAGTATGTTCCAAAATTATATTTTTTCAAGACTTTGAAGAAGAAGGTATGATTTAAAGATTCGAATGCTTACTCGAAATCCACAGCCAGAAGGATACCAGAACAACCTGTAAACTGGGAAAATTCAAGTATAACTTCAACCGTTCGAACTCCTTCCATAATTGATCTCCCTTTAATAAAGTCATTCTGGTTAGCGTGGATCAAATAAAGATAGAATTTGTCCTAGCCTTGCAATTACTTTGGATGCAATTTTAACATCGAAATTAATTAAAGAGATTGGTCTCCAATTCTTTATGAAACGTCTGTCTTTGTCTTTCTTTTCTATCAAAGTAATCATAGTCTGTTTCTGTGAATTGGGTAGTTGTCCCTGTTCATGAGAAAAATTTAAGGCATTGACAAGGGACTTCGATATGAGATGCCAAAAGCCGAGGTAAAATTCCACAGTCAAACCATATTTTCCTGGTGCTTTGTTTTTCTGAAAGGATTTCAAAGCTTCGAAATACTCATTAGTCGTAATATTGCTTTCCAAAAGCCCCCGCTGCTCGGCCGTCAGCATGTTAGTATTACTATTCTTAAGGAATTGGTGAGTTGATATGTCATCACAATCGCATAAACCTGTATCGTAGAGAATTCCATAAACGTTTTGGATCTCCGTCATTATCTGTCTCGGATCGGTCGTGCATTCATCGTTTGTGACCACTGATTTTCTAACACTGATTTTTTCTTTTTATAATTTTCTAAATTCAAAAAATATTTATTGCTTTTTTCTCCGTGTTCATACCAATTTATTCTTGATCAGATCATTGCCCCTTGAGCTCTATAATCATATTGTCTATCATATTCACTTTGCAGGATTTCCAGTTCACTCATGTTTTCTGGGTTAGGCTGTTCATCGCATTTTGCTGTGCATTTTTTTAATTTTTGTTCCAACAGTGATAGTTTCTCCCTTCGATTTTTAGCCTTATGTTTACTATAGGAAATTGTTTCCTAACGGATTTTGTACTTAATGAAGTCCCAAAGGATCCTTGGATCTTGAATACCTTTTCCTTCTTCCGGCCAGATGTTATATCTATCAGTTACTAATTTAATGCAATCTTCATCTTCTAAAAAACTGGAATTAAATTTCCAAAAAGATGGACCCCTTTCTGTTTCTTCGATTTCATTTATATGCATTGAAATAGCGGAGTGATCGGTTCTTATTGCCGGAATAATATCGACATTCTCTACCTCTTCCTGAATACGACTGGTGATTACCCAGAAATCCAGACGGCATTGTACGACTGGGTTCTTTTGTCTCCACGTAAAACGTTTGACATCTGGATTTCTGATTCTTCATATATCAATCAAATCAAACGACGAACACAGATCCTCCATCTTTTTTCAAGATTCTTTCATTTGAGGCTTACCTCCGGAACCATCCAAATTGGCATCAAGAATGACATTAAAGTCGCCTCAAATAATTACTTCGCAATTTTCTACTAATTCTAGGTCATCGAGCTTGAGCTTCTTTTGGATTTCTTCGGAAGAAACGCATTGGTCTTTAATCTTATTAGGCGCATAAATATTTACCAAAACAAACGGTTCGCTTTGAATAAGACACTTTAAAATAACAAATCTCCCCTGCTCATCTTCTCGAAGAACCTTGATTTCGTAGTCAAAATTCGCCTTGAAAAGAATCATAACTCCCTTGCTGTGTTCCGAACCGTGACTGAAGAAAATATCTCCCCTCCATTGTGCTTTCCACAAGTTAACAACTTCTGGAGTACTGTACGTTTCTTTTAAAAGGATGATATCAGATTTCTTTTTCGCAAGCCAATTAAATAACGTAGATGTAGATATAGATGTAGATTTATTTATACTCGAAATTTATGGAGCTTGTCAAGCACCTAGCTTAGATAGCTAATGAATCGAGTAGAAAATAAATGAAATATAATTCTAAAAAGTTACAATAAAAGTTCAGAGATAATAAGAAAA